ATATATATAATTTTCCATTAAAAAGTCAGAGTTAAAAACCTTGTAAAAATACAAAATAAATATTTATATTTCACTTTGATATTGAAGCCTAAGCAAAAATAGCAGCTCCATTTTCTGTTGTCTGCCTTAAAATGTGGCTAAATAATTCAACTACTGCTGCATCAATTGCCAACAATACCGTATAACCGATATATGCCACAAATCTAAATTTTCATTTATTTCATCTGATTTTCAATCAAAGTTTGTTTGCATAAATTACGTAAATGCTGTGCTTTAAAGCAAGACAAAATTGACAACGAATAGAAGAGCAAAGATAAGCTGAAATTCGCTCTCAGTCTCGCTTACTATCACTTACTCTCCCTCTCCCTCGCCTTCGGCTTCGCCTTCTCCCTCTCTCTGTGTCGGTACGGCACTAATTACCGTATTGGCATTAGCTTCCTGAGCTACAAAAAAACACTCACACACATACACACAGAGAGCAGGCAAAAGTTTCGTTTAACGACTGCAACGTGGAGAGCTTGGGGTTTGCTATACGGGCTGAGAGCAGCTGTAAATGGTTGCCAACAGTTTTGGCCATGCTGCCTACGGTATACCTATTGACAGCAGCTCAGCAGTAACAACAACAACAACAACAACAACAGCAAAGAGAGCAATGCCGATTGCAATTGCGATTGCGGTGACAATAAAAGGCTATATAAGAAGGCGTTGGCGTTAGTGTCGAGCTACAAATGACAACGGCACACACACACACACACATACATCTACAGCTAGAGCTACAGAAACCTAGCCTAGCAGCTGCACATAAAAGCGCAGCAGATGCAACAGCAGCAACAACAACAACAACGACAACAACAATAACGACAACAACAAGAGCAAACAGCGAAACGTATTTGTCGGTTTCAAGTGGCACTTGGGAAATCATCTTTTCGCTTGTGCAACGACCCGATGGCAGGACGCGGGCGCTGTGGCTGCGGGGGCAGCTGTAAATGAAAACGACCAGCGACGATGATGTTGACAGTGAGACAATGCTGGCCCACAGCATCAGCAGCAACAGCAACAGCAACAACAACAACAACAGCATTGCAAGTGCTATATGGAATGAGAAGCTTTACAAAAGTCAAAAACCAAATGCGTTGCATATGCACTAGAAAATTGTTGGCCAAAAATGCATTTGGTAGTCAAATTTTTGCATGGAGCCTGAGTGCCAAGCAGCGGCATTGTGTGAGTGCTTTGAAAGTTGTGCGGGGGGTGGGCGGGGGCTGCATGCTGAATGGCTCGGAGTTTGGGTTAAGCTGGGCGCGGTGGGGGACTGAGAGGTGTGTGGGTAGCTGAGTTCAATGGCTAATCGGATTTTGCAGTACGTAGTCAGTCAACGTGAAGCAATTGATGAGGGCAATTCAAGTGTGCATGCATGAACAGCATATACAACAACACACACACACACACACATGTACACTTACATACCTATGTACCCTCATCCCTATACGAACTGATAGCGCACACGTTATGAAAGCGGAAACGGAAACGCGTTGACGGCCGTGCAAATTTACCGTAGCATAGCACAACACAGCACCCAATTGATGCTGCCTGCCTGGATGCCTGCTGCCTCTCTGGCTCTGGCTGTGGCTCTGCCGCTTTGCTGCCTGCTGCATGCTGCATGCTGCCTGCCACATGCTGCATGCGGGCTCTATAGCAATCTATTTTCCGTGCCAAAACTATTTTTGCTTTTGCAGCTAACATTTCTCATACGTTAAACCCTTTGCTTTATGTTTATTCCCTCGCTATCCCAATGGCAGTTGCTTTGGCCGCTGCAGCGTTTTAAGGACTCACGCGGACAGCATCTGCTGCAGCGCGAGGCGCTCAATTATGGCCTCGATTTGGAGCCGCCGTCGCCGTCGCCGTTGCCTCCTCAGCGCTACGAACAGGACGAACCGGCCCGCGTGCTGACCAAAGAGCTGCACCACACCGAGGCGGGTCGCATAGTCGCCGTGCCCAGCCAGCACCTGCAGCAGCCGCACCTGGAACAACACCGAGAACCCCTCGAGGAGGCGGACAATGTGCCGCCACATATGCCACACGCACGCTGGGAAACGGCCACGACAATGACACTGCCGTCCACCAGCACGTCGAGCAGCAGTCGGACGAGCAGCAGGGATATGGAGGAGGCGGAACAGGACTACGTCTACAGCTGGCAGGTGGGCGAGTGGTCCAAGTGCTCGCAGGAATGTGGAGCCGCAGGCAGCGGCTTGCAGGTGAGTGCAAGAAAACTAGAGAAAAGGCAAGGAAAAGGGATTTAAAAAATAATAATAATTAGTATAGAAATTATTGATATGGATGAGATAGGTTATGTTATGGAAGAGGAAGTTATAGATTAAGAATTTATTTATTTAATGAATATATATTGAATCATGCTGAAATTTAAGTAAAATCTAGCAATTACCTGACCGATAAATAATTCACATGAAACAGATTTCAGCTGACTGCGAAAAGCTAAGGAAAAGACTTGAGATTGGGTGAGATTTTGAAAGCAAAGAAACGGGTTTTTTAATTTAACAATAAAATTGTTTTAGATTTATTGTGGATCAGCATGTCTGAAAAAGAAGTAGGAGTTAAAATATATTATATTCAACCTAATTGGCTTAGACAGGAGTGAGGGCCTGCCAATACCCAAAAGGAAATAAATACTTTATCGATATAAATGTATGGTTCGCTCTATAATTTGTGGAACATAAAATAACTCGATTATTATTAGATATTGTTTTATTTTTAGCTTAAAATAAAATAAAATAAAAACTTGCATTCCTAAAATATTTGCCATTGTGGCATCAATGTAATATAACCCCACATAATTATAAAAAAAAAAATCAGGTCGACCACAAAAAGTGACTTTGACTGAATGACAGCTGGAGGATTTTTAGCTGATTTTTTAATGGCACTTCGAGTATCGATTTTCATCGATAACTGACAATTATTCGCTCCATAAAAATAAATTAGCATAATGGAATAGCTGAATTTTTAATTTGATATGATAAGCTTCAATATATATTATAAATAAAACAGTAGAATATATGAACCAAGTCATTTGTTGATACTAAAGTGGACATAATAACATTTTAAATGAAATCCCCACAGTGCGTTATAGCAATACAGTCAACTGAAACACTAAAGACATCAATATATTCTTCCCAACCGCACTTCAGATTTTTCCTATGCTTCCTTAATAATTAATAAAAAAATTTTACACATCAAATATACAATTCTCCCTGCTAATAAATTTTTCATCTGTCAGCACAAATAGCTCTGAACTCTACCCGCCGTAGTCCTTTAGCTCTTTCATCTTTATATAACAAATTTGATTTTGAGCTATTCCTAATCTAAATGTCTTCAGTTAACTAAAGTCAAATATTTGCTACAACAATTCTCTAAAGTTTCCATTCAAACAAGCTTTACCAAATTAGCTTTGTTAGGGGCTGGGAAAAAAGAAAAGAGAAAAAGTAGAAATAGAAATAGAAGCAGAAACAAAAGTAGAGGCAGTAGAAGTAAAACTCCCCAAGCCACAGACAACACTTATATAATAATTAGCCGAATGCTTGGCTTTGCCATGGCTGCACAGATTCAACTTTTTCAAGCCCAAAACCCAAGTCAGGGTCCGTGAAAGGACGAAGTAGATGTAGAAGTAGAAGAGATTGAGGACGAGTTTAAATATTTTAGCAGGCAGGGTTGGCCTGGCTGCCGTCGTCTATTGTTTTATGTGTGGCACGAAGGCACTGATATAGAGATGGAGGTAGAGTTAGAGCTAGAGGTTGAGGGGGAAAAGAGAGAGAGAGAGAGAGAGAGAGAGAGAGAGAAGAAAATAACTGTAAACATTGTTTCTTTTGCCACCTCCATAGCGGCGCACGCTGAGCTGCCGGCGTGTGGCAACAAAGAAGACGACGATGTCAAATGCCACCGATGGCAGCGTCGTCGACATCGTCGAGAATGCGCAATGCCGTAGCCAGGGGCTGGACATGCCCGACACGTTCCAGAGCTGCGGCAACGAGCCCTGTCCGCACTGGACCAAGGGCGAGTGGACTCTCTGCCACCAGTCGCGCTGCCACGGCCGCAACACGGCCGTGCAACGGCGCGAGGTCCACTGCCGGTATCAGAACGGCAGCGCGGGCACCGCCTGCGATGAGTACGAGAGGCCGGCGGCACGGCAGGAATGCTACAACGAGCGCTGCAAGGGCGTCTGGCGTGTGGAGCCCTGGTCTGAGGTAGGTGGTAATACAACAGTTACAGTCATGGCTATGGCTACGACTATGGCTGCAGCTATAGCTATGGTAGTGCATCTTTTATTAATGTCAATTGCAATGGCTTTCTGCTTTGCTTTCTGTTCACACAGTGCAATGCGCCCTGTGGTCGTCAGGGCATCAAATTCCGCATTCTGCAGTGCGTCTGGTATGGCAGCCGTCGACCCGCGGGCAATGTGTGCAAGCATCAGCCACGCCCAGCGGTCATGAAGGTGTGCAAAAGTCCGCCATGTCAATCCAAGGGTAAGTTCCAAGCTCCATACTCAATTTCCATCTCCATAATCGAATGAATCTTGAACAATGTCTATGTATGTATATCATGAACAGTGGGCAAAACTTCGGCTGGCTGTCGTGATAGCTCTCGCTATTGTCGCAATGCCCGCTCTATGGGCCTCTGTCGACTGCATCGCTATAAGGAGAAGTGCTGCGGCTCCTGTCAGCCCCAACTCGAAGAGCTTCAATAGATCCGACACAACTTAGAAGTGGACGAAAATCAAGCAAGCAATTACTATAAGTACATGGAGAATACACTCACTGAAAGATATGAATATKAATGAATGAGTCAATGAATTAATAAATCTATGAATCATTGAATTATTTATTTATTGAATCATTGAATCAATTCATTTATGAGTCTTTGAATCAATGAGTCACTGAATCTATAAATTGAGTAAATGAGTAATTATGTAATTGAATCTATGAAACACAAATCATGAATCTATGAATCAATTATTCAATGAATCAACAACTCCATGAATCTATTATGACTAAGAACGAGTGCTATTTAGTTGACTTCGATATGTAAGGCATAGTTAAATGTAATTGGGAAACGCAGATCAATTCGAGCAAAAAGAATGCACAGTAATTTCGTTTCAATTTTTGTCTACATTAATAAGCAACAAATACACAGATGCATCGACATATATCTACAGATAACGATAAGCATATACATACATATATATGATGTGAGCAAATATTTACAACTATTCGTAAACTAAGCGCAAATTATGTTTAAATATGCCCAGATAGAAGCAAGCCAAGCTGGCCATTGCGAATGAAAGCAAAGATCCCCTAATATAATATAATAATGATATTTTATTATTATTACTATTATAGATAAATGTAATTTGTAGCATTTGATTTGCCAGCATTTGATTGTCGGCTTTGCTTTAAGCAATTCCAGAATTAAATACTAAAAGTATTTAATCCATATTGCAAATAAATACTAAATAACGCAACCAAATCCCATAACAAAATGAAAATAAAAAAAATACAAACAGTTAATTAAATAAAAAATATTGGGCGGCGCTACTTGGGAAACCGTGGAAAGTTAAGCAACAATTTGCAGTATAGATAACTTCACAATCGATATAATGTTAGTGAGCTAATGGAAAATACGAATACGAAAATACAAATAAAAATAGAAGCGAGAAGTAAATGTTCCAAATGCCCCCAAAACACTTGCCATTTGTAACTGTAATTTCAAATAAGACACAAAACTAACCCAGCAAAATATTGAATGAAAATAATGCACTGTTACCTAATGTGGAAAAACATATTATACAAATACATAAAAATATTTATGTATATATTGGTAAGTATTAACCAATATATATATTTATATATGTATGTAAAAGTATACAAACTAAATACATTATGTAAATATTCTAGCAAATACTAAAAGCTAAGTTCAGCTAATTTTGTTTTGGAGATCAATTCTGATTAGAAAAATATGTTAATTAACTTATGAAAAACGAAAAACAATTTTCCTCTTGCGCATTTAAAAACAACAGTAAAACAAGAAAAGCTATTAAAAATTCAAAAGTCCAGTTATTGTAAATAAACATTTTATTTACACGCATAAATGTTATTAAATAAAATTTTGTATTAAAAAACAAAAACAACTTGTTTTATATAAGTAAATAAATATATATGTATCAACTAAATGCAAAGATAAAACGTAAACCCGTTAGCTGCTAACTAAAACTTATAAACCAAAAAAAAAAGCAACAAAAACAAATGTTAAAAGCAAACGAAACGAAAATCGAATATCTAGCTTGTTAAGTAAAGATTATAAAAAAATACATATACAAGCTAATTAAAATGCATACCATAACCAATGTTAAACATACACAAACACCAACATAAACCAACACACACACAAATACACATAACAATTTACATACACATAAAATAGCATTATATAAAGATAAATAAAGTAAAACAAAAACAAGTGCGAAAAATAAATAAATTATTTTAAGCAACAGCGAAAAAATGTTTTACAATGGTAAAATGTAATACGAAAGCAACTGCTTAAATATTGTAAGAACCCGAAAAAAAGAAAACATGAAGAATGAAATAACAGAATAAATATTGTTTAAAAATCTTGCAAAAATAAGGATCTTGTGCAGTGTATACGTGTGTTTGAGAGATAAACCAATTTGGCGTGAAATAGCACTCTCTCACTCGAGTGCCTCCTTCCAGTGAGCTGCAAGATTTCACTCAACAGAGCTCTGTAGTGGTCACAAATTGGTTTAGTTGCACATGTGTGAGAAATTCGCTTGCTACCTTTGTGGAAGTTAAATTGAGATCACTTCTCTTATTTTTAAGTAAGGAAATTAGGAAAGAATAACTGTGCTAGCAAGTTGGATCGTAAGAGAAGCAGTGTGCTTGAGCTGAGCTCTCCCTATACATACTCATGCAATAACGGATCAATGTCGTTATATGTGTGGACCACAGTCTGTGAGAATTTAAGGAGAGCAGAACAGCAATGGCATACATGCATATACACATTTAATTGTATATGTGAAAAGGAGAGAAAGAAATATATTTCTTGAGAGACAGACCTGAGCGTGAGCAGAACTGCCATGATTCATGTATTGGTATATGTGAATGGGAGAGAAATTTTTCGGTTGTAGTAATGCATTGATATTTTTTGTCTGCAGCGCGCTGCAGCGTTTAGTTGTTCACTAGCATTCGCTTTGTTCAGTCGGTTACATTTTTTTTTAAAGCGAATCGCTTTCATACAAGTGAGTATTCTATGTTCTTTATTATTTAAATTCAGTTAATTTTTAGTTGTTGTTTTATTTTATGTATTATGTATATAAAAAAGAATATGCTACAAAAAAAAGAAAAGAAAACAGTAGATAATAAAAAATAAATAAAATAAAAACTACCTTTTAATTCAGTATGAAATCATTTTAAAATCACTGTTCTGTTTATTTAAAATATTTTATTGTATATTAACAAAAAAAAGGTTAATATAAAAGAAACTACAATAGAAATTTATTAGCTTATTTCAGTATCAAACGAAAATTTGTATTGTACTTGAGCATCGTTCAAGGTTTGTTTGAGCAATACCAGTATTCAAATTCAAAGGGCTTACAGACAAAAAATAAAACGTTGCCTAGCCTCGCGGGGCAGCCGCTGCTGATTCAATTCGTCGTCAATTTTGCCCGAAAATCTGGTCGAAGTATCAGGCGAACAGAAATGCGAATCAGTGGACTGCCGTATGATAAATTTTAAATTTCTCAATAATGTTAACTAACAGAGTGGATCGTAAGCTTGCTGTTAATTAACATCACTCAATAATTGAGCTCTTTTAAGTTAAGTCAGCTACGCAGTCAGAGCAGAAGCAGCTGTTAAGTTTACTGCAAATAACAAACACTGAGATTGTAAATAGGCTTGATTTATTTGATTTTATTTGAATTTATTTCTTTTAAAATATTAAGTCTAAAAGCGCGGCTTGCACACGTTTGAATTAAAATCTTGAAATCATAATATATTAACAGATTAGGAAAATAACTTATAAATTATTTTTAAAAGTTCAACTCTTTCTACATAAGAGCTTCGGCAGTAGCTTAACGAGTATCAGTGAGTGCAGGGCATTGCGTATAAACTCATAGGCCAGAAAGAGGAAGCGTCCATGCTGTTTGGGTGTGCCAAGGCGCAGGATATAGTTAAGCAACTCTACAATGGCGATGCCAACAAAGCGATGTGAATATTTCGAATTGTTATTTCTTCTAAAAGTAAGAGTAAAGACAGTATTAATAAATATGCTGTAAAGCCAGAGAACTCATATATGTACGTACATTTGCTCCACAGGTAAGGCAAGTGCCACGCCCATTAGATTGCCCAGATCTCGGGCCAGCAGAAAGATGGGACTGCTCTCATGTCGCATGTATGTGGGCTCGGAGCACCATTTAAAGGCCTGCGGAAAATGTAGTTCAATAAATGAAATCACTGCAATTGAGACTCTTTAGGCCACTCACCTGCCGCACAGACCAATGCGGATCAATGTCCAGGTGTAGCTTAAGGAAGTAAACGGCCATGGCGAGGCAGCCAAGCAACAGAACCATCAACACTGCCCAACTGCATCGCCGGCTATACAGGGAATTCAGATGCCTCTGGCAGCTGGCCAAGAGACTTATGGCCAGATAAGTGGACAAGAGGCACTGATGCAGATACTCGGTGGCTAGATAGAGGCGGCTCAGCCACATGCTCAAGATGCAGCAGCCAATCAGGCCATACATGGTTAGCCGCCAGCTAGAGGAGCGATTCTTCATGGGCAGGTGCATGCTGACCACCATTAGCAGTGCCGTCCAAGCCATGCTATGGGCACACGGCAATCCGCCGCTCGTCTCGCAGCTCAGATCGTGACTCTGCAAGGCGACGCCCGGCCGAATGGCGTACTCATTGGCATAGAGCTCACGCAGGCGCCAAAGGGGTCGCCAATCCGGATAGATCCTGTAAATGATATATAGATATCCATTGAATTACAATTACAACAATATTGCAGCTGCAGCACTTGCCACTTCTCAAAGGAGCTGACGGCGCTGACCAAACTCAGCGCGCAAACCAGATGTGTGAGCAAATCCTGTCCACAGATGCCCAGCAGAGGTATCAGCACATTGAACAGATTGCTGGGCTCCAGGTAAACGCTGACAAAACGAAAAAAGGGCTCCGCTATGAACAATCTGCAAGAAATGTATATTTATTATTATATATCAGATTTGCCTGTGAGTTTTTATTGACTTGCCTATCCTGAACCCATTCATTGATATGCAGCTCCGCATCGAGTAGTTTGTGGTAATAGTCCGCCGTTAGGCGCAGTACATCCAGCTCCATTTAATATTATTGTTGTTTAACTAGAGATTTAGTAAATATTTAACCCAGGATATGTGTTTACTGTGCGAATCCTGTTTCCATTTCAAGTTGCCAGCGAACAGCTGTGGTTGACGCAGGCGCTTTAGCGGCTTACAGTAGAGGCATGAAATATTGGGCATAGCTTGTGTTAAACTGCTTAACTGTATGTGCAACTGCTTGTCGCACTGCTGGACAAGCAGTGCACTTGCGTTATTTGTTAATTTGATAGAGTATTATTGTAATCATAAGTATATACTTTTGTATGAGAAAAAACATATTTATACAAGAAAATACGTGATTACAAATATTACAATAATACTAAATACTAATATTAAGCTACATATAAGTAACATATAATTTATACCAAGCATTTAGTATTATTATATTTTTAATCACGTATATAGAGCTACAAATATATGTATAATGATATTTCTTATGGAAGATAAACTAAAAAATTATATTATGATGGAATATACTGTTCTAATTATACTAAATTCAGTCATTTTGTCCAAATGATATGCAAATTTATGTTTATCTTGAATGAAAAAATAAATATATATAAAGAGTTAGAACAAATTAAATATTGAAAAAAAAATCGTACTTACTTATGAATTAATTCAATACAACGCAATCACTGTGTGAGCTAAATATAAGAAATACAATGATTAGTTCATAAATTCAAATTTATAGACTCATACATACATGAAATTTGTGCGCAAATATCTATACAAATAAAAAGGTAATATAATATATACATATACATAACCATATATACATACATAAATATAACCATCATATACAAATAAACTCGAAATATACCTAAATAGTTTCAATTAAATTGTAAATTTTAATAAATAATGCGAACGGTTTACAAAAACTGATAACAAATCATATTTTCAATAAATACACATATACATATACACATACACATACACAARTATATGTATATAAAGTAAAAGGGCCGCTTTTTTTCTTCTTTTGTTTGTTCATCCTCTTGTTGTTGTTGTTGTGATTGTAGCTAAATATCAATGGAAATTTTCATAATGCACTAAATTGTAGAACATGACTAATTTATGAAGTTACAGATTACGTGAGAGACATTTGTGGCTAGATAGGGACAGGTTCGTAGGGGGCGGGGCAGGTGAAAACTAAATTCGCTTAAATGCTGAATGAATGAAACTAAATACTATGCGTATAATATTCGTAGAGTAATCCGTTATGTTTCATTATGTGTGTGTGAGTGTGTGTGTGTGGGGTGTTGTGATTTTTTTGTAGTTGGCAGATAATTGTAGAGCTGATTAAGAACTGGGCTTGCACTCGCCTTAGCCGAAATTCTCGAAATGATGTATGAAATAGGGCAATTTGCGTGTTTTGTTCACTTCATCACAGGCGGACATGACGCTCTTTGTAAGCGGCCTGGGGCCACAAGAGAAGACGCCTATTTTAGATACCTGTAAAGAGAAATTACAAAATTAACTATGTTTTCTAATGAACAAATCGAATATCAGACAACTCACATAGGAGTGCTTCTTCTGCACAAACTTGAGAAAACTGGACATGTCGGGCCGTCCAAAATGATTGACAGCCTTGAGACCCGTGAATATGGATGTCTTTGAGAGGCGCTGAAAGTGATTCTCGCAAATGTACTAGAAGCAAGACGGAAAAATTCAATGAGAAATTGATCCAGAAGAGATATAGATTCTCTACAGCTCACCAGCATAGTTGTACGCAGATCGAATTTGTGGAAGAACTGCGTGATGAAGATGTGTATCTCCAGCACATTGGTCACATCCTTCTTCTCCACGTCGCGCAGCACATCAATGAACCACTCGAAGTGCTTGTGCGATGGACAAATCCACAGGAAATAAACCTTCTTGCAGGCCACGCCTGAGTAGCGGTTCGTGCTGGTGCCAAAGACCAAATCGTTTAGAATGGAGGCGTAGGGCGTAACGCCAATGCCGCCGCCCACCATGACAGCCACCTCGAACTTGTACCAGTCCTGATTGCCACCACCGAACGGGCCCTCGATGCGTATCTTGGGCTGATCCTCCGGATTGTAGTTGCACGGATCGAAATAGTTGCGCAGCTTCCATGTCCAAGGCCCCTGCGCCTTGATGTGACAGCTGAGGAAGTTCTCGTGCGGCGCCGAGGTCAACGTGAAGCTGTGCATCTCGTGTGGCCTGAAGGCGGTGCAGGACAGACGCACCCATTGCCCAGACAAATACTTGAGATTGGGCGGCCTATAGAACTTGACCTTGATCACATCCGAGGGCAACAAGTCCGTATCGATGACATCCAGTGCCATATACTTGGTGCGCAGTGAGACAATCTTGTCCAGAGTGTAGATGACTCCCGGCCCCAAGAAGAACATCCAGAAGCGTGGCGGACCGGTCAGACGCGCCAGCCCATGTATCAAGCTCAGCAAATAGAGCCCAATGTAGAGCGTGTGCATGTTCCAGAAGAAGTTGTAAGCTCTCTTGCGTATTGTCGGATGGGCGAACACAAATATGACGCACATGATGATGAAGAGCAGCACACCCGTTGTCCCGGTCACCGTTTGGAATAGCCAGAAGGTAATGTCCGGCTTGTAGTCCGAAGCAAAGTGCACCTCGCGCGTCAGGCAGCGCAGATTCTCGTGCGACTGTGTGGACACGTGGTAGAAGTTAACGATGTGCCCCACCGTATGCAGCACCGAGAAGAACAGCGCAGTGCAGGCGGCAATCTTATGGAATTGTATATGCGAATCCAATGGAATATATTGCTGAATGGGAAACTCCTTCAGTTTGGTAATGAGATTTCTGCAAGCAGAAGACAAAATTGAATTTAGTATAATATAAACAAGTAAAAAAGCTCTGGGATTCTAGACTAGGAAATCTCCTGTACCAAGCCAGATTTGTGATTTGTGAATACTCAGCTGGTTGTTTAATCGAGAATACATATATTGGTTCAGGGAATATTTCTCACCTCGACATTGTCAGCAACAGCAGCGAATAGCAAAAGGAGAGAGATGCAGCAGATCCGCGAGTAATGGCAATGCCCACGCCCATGATGTGACGCAGATCGGTGTGCTCGGCCATAAAGGAATAGTGTATGAAACGCTCCACGAACAGAACAATTGTGACCACATAGAACAGAAATAGATAAAAGATATTCTGACGATTCTCCTCCAGAAACGTAATGTACGCATCCCATTTGGCGAGCAACCAGTGCCGTGGCTTATCCTGCATGGGCTCAATGTTGAAGGAGGTCATGCGCGCCACATTTGTGGACGTGTCCAGGAAGTTCTGCTTCGCACCCTTGCAATCCAGGCCGATGGCAACAAAGTCACCCTTGTACTCCTTCATCATGAGCTTGAAGTCCTGATAGGTCAGATGATTCTTATGCTCAAGTCCCACATCCTGGAACATGCCATCGATCAGTTCGGTCACCTGATCATCGCCCAGGCTAGTGGTGCGCGCAATCTCCACCAGCGAGCGCATCATTTCGCTCAGTTCGCCCTTATCGATGACCCCATTGCGATCATTGTCGCACATATCGAAGATGATGCGCAGCTTGTCGTCCGTCTTGCCGCGCGAGAAGAGCACCACGGTTTCGAGAAACTCCTGGAAACTGATTCGTCCATCCTGATCCTTGTCCACAATATTGAACATCTTGCGCACAAACATATCGTTCGGCTTCATGCCCAACGCGGCCGCGAATTCAGCCTTGGACAGACTGGTGCGCATTACAGTCATCACCTCACCATCGCTAGATGCATCCGAGCGACGCCTACGCTCGCCCGGCCGCAAGCCAAAGGTGAGCGCATAGGCTTCCCTAAAGAAGTACTCGAGCCGCTTCTGGCGTCGCTCTCGAGTCTCTGCCCTGGCCAGCATTATGTCACGATTCACCTCCATCAGTGTCAGTTCCTTTTTGTGCAGCAGCAGAAAATCCTCCAGCTTCTTGACAAACTTGCGACGTGCTCCATACGACTCCAGCTCCAGCACTAGGTCATGATCGCTGGGCACACGGAGCAGCAGATAGGGCTTCTTTTTTATGTGATTCGTCGCTGACTCCTCCACGCTGACAACGTCCACGTGCTGCAGATTAAATGTGCGCAGCTTCTCTCCCTTACGATCTACCGTATAGATAGCCGCCTCGGGTCCAAATTTGACTGTGACCAGACGCTTGTGGTTCGCATGCAGCCACTCACGCGCCAACATCTTGTCCACGGAGCCCTTTTGCTGTGGTGCACGCAGCGCCTCCTGGCGTATCTTCAGCTTGCGACGTTTGCTGTTCTGCAGCTTGACCACACAATAGCCGGCAGCCGCACAGAGTATGGGCACAAAGCCAAGGAAAACGCACACATATATGAACATTAGCTCCGATCCCGAGAAGTAATCGTAGCCCTCCAAATAGTTGCATGGCTCCAGCTCTGTGGCATTCAGCTGCATGGGCTGCGGACAAGGATCACCAGCACGCCACATAAACACATCACGCTGTATCTCATCCTCTGCTATATCCGTGCTGTTTATGATGATGTCCCACAGCGTGATCTTACGCAGCTCGGCAATCTCTTCAGCCGTGAAAATGCCATTGCGTTCGTTCTCGAACCAAAATCGATCGGAATCACGCAAGCGTTGGAACTGCTCCTTGATCACACTGCTAAAGAGCTCGCCCGGCTGGCCATAGGACTCCAGCATGCCACCCACATAGACATCCACATCGTCCAGCTGATTATTGTAAGCCTCCTTGAGCATGCTGTGAGTGGAAACAATTTGTATTAGTATTGGAACTACAAGAATTTTAAACTCCATTTCGAGCTTACTCCAATAGTTCGGGTTGCGCTTCGAACAATTGCGGATTGATGTCTGTCCAGGTCTTATGCCTACGCAGGCCATACGCTTCTCTGGCCGTGTTATAATCGGGCAACCCATTATCACGTCCACGCATTATGTTCAGAGCTCCCAGATCTCGGCGCGTAAACTCCATGGGCCCAAAGAGCTTATCCCGCACATCTGAGCACAATACTGGATCTTCGCGCTCGGAAATTTGCGATGCAAGACCCATCAGTACCTCCTCCACGCTCGTGTCGGTAAAGAAACCCTGCAAGATATTGTGATTTAATAAATATTTATACAAAATGTGTGATTATA